TTTTATTTGAAAGACATACTCCAGAATATGATATTTTCATTAGAGGGCTCCTAAACTCAAATTAGCGCTGTAATTCTCTTCATAAGCAAAATGTTAGGCATCTTCCGCCGAATCACTATACATAACTTTATTTCCCCCAAACATATTTATGTAGCTAAAATTAGTTTTAACTAATGTTAAAAGTTAAAACTAGTTTTATCTAAAGTCAAAACATGTACAGCAGTAAATTAACTAGACAAAACCGGTTTTGTCTAGTTAAAACTAGAATTTACTGCTGGTCAAAAATGAATTTGAGTTAAAACTAGTTTTAACTAGACAAAACCGGTTTTAACAAAGACATTCAGTATAAACTAGTTTCAACTAGTTAAAACGCGTTCTAACTAAAAACGGGTTTTGACTGTAACATATATATATATATATGATTTTTAGTGTTCAGACAGATGTATCTGGCTTTCATGGAATAAAAAATTTTAAATTATTTTCAAGAACAAAATATGGCTTTAAAATAAAGGTCTCATTATATTTAACTAAAATACTATCTTGTAAATCAAAATCTCAGAGATAAGTGTTTTGACCGTTATTTATGGTCAAAACTTGTCTCATTTCAGCATAACCCATTCACCCTCCCATGTTCATTAAACAACATTAAAGTACTTCAAAATATATTTATCTATCAACCAATAATTCTAAATAAAATGCAAATATTGCTTAGGTTATTCACTAATGAAAATAGGAAAAGCAAATTAAGTCAAGAGAAGGATATAAGTTATAAACATATTTTTATCTAATGGTGAGAAAACAATAGTTAACACAAAAAGTAAGATAAAGAAAAATAAATTTTTTAATAAATTGTAACCATGAATTAAAAAAAATATTTGTTTGGAAAAGCAACTTAGTTGTTTCATCATCTATTTTCAGTGGAAATTTGTAACTTGTTCTGCAAGTGAAGATACAACATAAATGAAACAAAGAAAATGGAGACAAACACATGAACTGGAATGAACTATATAATTGGATAGGAACTTCAATCTCATTGTGCTTGTGATTAGATATTTTGTTTTTTTAAATCTAACAGCACTTGATGTAAAGTATTTTATTCAATAATTAAGAAAGAGAGAATTCAAATACAACAGATTCGTTTTTTTCTTTATAATCATTATTTGTAAATAGGGGTCACACTATTTTTAAGAATTTATGTAAAAAAGCAAAATTTTAATATGAAACACAAAGTATCTATCATAAACTACAGTTATATTTTAATAAAAATATTTTTATACCTTATTTGCAAAATCATCTTCTACAGCTTGATAATTTTTATATATAATATTTCCTCCATTAGCTTCATTCCTTTTGATAACAAAATCTAAATAAAATATAAATTTAAAAACAAAACATAATCAATCAATCAAAGTATAATAAATTTTTAAAAGTCTTTAGTATTAATATCTTCATGTACAAATTTAATTACAATTTAATATTCTATAAAAATCCTATTCAAAGAAACTACAGTGTTTTTAATAATAAAATGATAAGAGTTAATTAATTATACAGATATTACTAATTAATCTGAAAGTATCTATTGTTTCTTCCAGAGAAAAATTCATTATCAAAACAATTATAAATTTTGTGTAGAAGGTATTTCTTTCAATTCAACTCAGTTTGCCAAATCAAAACATTTGAATAAAAATTCAAAATACATACATAGGGACAATACTTTCAAATTAAAAAAATTAATCTGTTCAAAATTTAAGGACATAAAAAAAATTATTTTAATATAGTGATTATAGTTTTCTGCTTTATATTTTTGCTTTCATTATGTAAATTGGTTGATTTGCACAAAAGTTATTCAGGAGTTTTCACTCAGTATTGAAAAGATGGGAAATGTTTTTTGACATATTATATATAAAATATACCTATATATATTTAGATCCCATATAATTCTCATGCTAGTAAATTAATTTATAATTTACTAGCATGAGAAACTAAGATTGTTTATTCAATTATTTTGATTAATTCATCATTATTGAGTATGTTTGGTTTCTTAATAGTTTTTCCATTACATAATTAAAGCTTAAGTGAATTGTGCTGCATCAATTATCTAATACTAGTTTATTAAAACTGTATGTAAACTGAACTGTTTGGATGTAAAAGATGTTAAGTGCCATTTCCATTAGTATGTTATATATGTATATATTCTATATTACATCTAAACAGTCATGTATTTCAATTTAATTATTATATCTACTCTAACTGCAACATGCACTTTATTCTGATTAAAGAAAATAAAGCAGAAAACTTCTTAAGATGCTTAATTTTTGTATTTTCTCTAAATTTTCATTATGATGCTTACCATTCTTTACACCAAACCCTTCAATTATATACCAAAAATTCATAGATAATTTATTAGAAATGATACTTAAATTTGTTGCAAAATTTAATTCTACAATAAATAAAATAATTTAATTCATAATAGAGAATACTAGAATACAGTGCATCCTAGATAAAATGATCAATTAAAATAAAAATATTCTTTAATATATAAATGACCTTTGTAATTTTTCTTTTCTTATGCTTAAAAAGTGTTAAGCCACTCTTGAAAAAATACAATAAACAAAGTAAATATATAAAATATGTTTAAAATATTTTCAATTATTTCAAGAGAAAGCAACTCAACTATTTTATTTATGTTTATGATGCATAAGTTAATGTCCTACATCACTATTCCATTTATTTTTCATGGTTTATGCTAAAATACTATTATAATTAAAACTGTTTTAATTTAAACACTTATTTTCTGTTACTTTACTGGTATATTAGAATTATATGTATTAGTAGGATTAGCAAGTTCCTTAATGTAACAGAAATTTACCATTAATGGACTATACCTCCTCCCACATAGTCAATTATATCAAGAATTGACTGTATTGTCTTTTTATCTGATAACAAAAGTAAATCTAACTATAAAGTTTAGATTCAATTAAAATATTAAAAAATAGATGAATCTATGGTCATTTCACATAATAATTACAGCTTGATCTATTTAGTTTTATTATTTGAATAAAAATAGAGCTTAATTTAAATAACATTTAAGTTATGCTTTCTCTAGAGTAAATTACCTTCGTTATGAAATAATGGAAATAAAACATATTTTACAAAAGCTAAAACTCCATTTTCTTCTAAATTTCCAGGTTCACAAAATGCCTTTTTTAGCTTTTTTTTAACAGCCGAAGGATTATCCAGTAAATCAATTTTTGAATCTTCTTCTGAGGAACTCATTTTTCCTCCAGTTAACCCAGGAACTATGTAGTAAAAAATTCTCTTAATTATTAGTAATAATAATCTAAAAGCTATATTTTGTATATATACATATATACATTTATTTATTTATTAATACCGTGTTTCCCCGAAAATAAGACATCCGCAGAAAATAAGACCTAGCACAGATTTTGCTGAATTGCGAAATATAAGACCTCCCCCTGAAAGTAAGACCTAGCGAAGTTTTTTTTTAGTCGTAACGGTCATCGACAGATGGTTGAAAGTACAGCCACTGATTGGTCAGCAGACAATTACGCCACACGGCATGATTTGCATAAGACTATGGCTTGGGAATCACAGATTTGCATAATGTTATCGCTGGTGATCGCTAATTGGTCGGCTGGGAATCACGCCACATCACATTTGCATAGTGCTACGGTTCAGTAAGCACTAATTGGTCATCGAGCTCGATGTGGACACTATAAAAAGGTTAAGTTGAATGTGTCGCAAGGTGTTCTCTCGAACCTGTTTAGCGTATTGTTCAACAATAAATGTGAATTTGTCTTCATGGAAATATAAGACATCCCCCTGAAAATAAGACCTAGTGCATTTTTTAGAGCAAAAATTAATATAAGACACTGTCTTATTTTCGGGGAAACACGGTATACTTAAATGTTTTAGATAAAAGTAGAATAATATATTAAACATTAAACTCTTAAAACTTTAAAATTGTAAAACTGACTTGTGTAGTCAGTGAATCTTCAAAACATTAAGACAAAATTTATTTTGTTAAAATTTTTGCATTATGTTAAGTTTTGTTTAAATATGACTTATAAAAAAAAAAAACTCAATTTGAAATCAGCTACTCTGATAATATATTATAAAAATTTGCAAATTTAGTAACTCTAATTTTTCTTTTTATGAAACATATATAACACAAACCAGCCAGAGTTTTTATATAGATTATTAAATTTATTACAAGATTTATTTTTTGCTTCAAGTTCCTTAATCATTTACTTCTACCAAATGATAGTTCAAAATATCAAAGCCAACTTTATTTTAACTGAAACTATCCTCAAATTTTTGGGCTATTTTTGGCTACATTAATGATTAGTTATTATATTAATTTGACTAGAGGTAGGTGGATATGCCACCATCTCATATTAATTTTAATAATTATAATAAATTTCTGGAAGAAAAAAAATGGGCCAGAGTGAGGCTCAAAGCTGCAACTTCTGCATAGCGCAGATGTGTTTCTGATTATGCTACCCAATCCTCCATCTGTTCTTTGCTTCCAGAGCTATTAAATTAGATATAACCAAATGGTTTATATATGACTGGTAGATTGTTTAGCATTAAGTAATTAAACTGAGTTACAAGTTATTATATTAACTGACAACAATTAAAAACATTTCTAAGTTCTTACATATTGACAAATAATCAAGGTAACTTGTAAATTCTCTATCATGCCAGTGATATGAACCTATTAGAAATGGAATTGTTCTTATAATGTATTTTGAGTATATCCATATTGAAGTTATTGATCCATATTGATATCTTCAATATGGATAATTTGATATCAACCATATATACCAAGACACTTCATAAAGATCCATTAACGTTTGTGTAGGCTCAAGCCTGTCTATGACAAGAACATAGTAGCAAGATCAAGATAACATATGCCAGGTTATAAACATTAAATAATGTCTGTTATATCTTCAAATTATTTTCTTAAATCAATAAAAATATGAAATAAAATGAACAAACTTTTGTTTGTTTCTTTTTTCATTCATTCTATCCAGCATAAGTTTGCTCATCTAGCAATGTACAGGGTTTACAATTTGCTTTCAAGATTACATGAATTTAAAGAATTATATAGAAGAAAATATTTTCAATAATATTCAAAGTATTCACTCTTTTAGACTTTACTTGAAATTTTTGGAAATATTTTAAAAACTCTGTTAATTTTAAAGCAGGCCCATTATGAGTTTGGCAAAGCTCACAATGGGGTAACTAGGTGGTGAGGGATGGGGCCTAACATATCTGGACAGAACCACCCCACAAAAAATTCCTGGGGATTTTTCANTTACTTGAAATTTTTGGAAATATTTTAAAAACTCTGTTAATTTTAAAGCAGGCCCATTATGAGTTTGGCAAAGCTCACAATGGGGTAACTAGGTGGTGAGGGATGGGGCCTAACATATCTGGACAGAACCACCCCACAAAAAATTCCTGGGGATTTTTCAACCCATCCAGATTTGATCCTGTGTCCCCAGAGCAGTATGTGAGAATCGGGGTTTATGCATCAAATGGCCATCAAAATGAATTGTAGTAATAATATAATAATAGAAGAACTAAGAAATGTATGTTTGTACATTTATGTAAAATAAATGAAAAACTATGAATTTATATTATTAAAAAAGTTCTTGTAGGGTAGAATGCAAACATTTAATGTCTGTAGTATTGAAATAAATAGTACTCAACTGTAAGGATTTATCTTATGTTTTTTACTTGAATTAGTATACTTTCCAAAACATAATCTAATGGATTTTTTCAGATAAAACAGTATATTAATATAAATCTTGTTATACTCTTTAGAAAGAGTATCTAATATTTCTCAAGATTTTACAATATTCACCTTTTAGAATTTTTTCATGTTTCATTTTAAAAATCAGAAAATAAAATCTCTCTCATTAAACTTTTTTTTACACCCAAGGATAATAAATTGTAAAATAAAATATTTTCTATATCATCATTTAGATGAATTTTGCTTTCTTATTTCAATTTTAAAAGAAAGTCATAGATTATATGTTACTTATAACAACATACAAACAAATAATTCCTTTAAGACTTCATTACAATAATTTATTTGATTTAAAATTCAATTTGACAGTGTATAAATTTACTGAGATTATTTTAACTTGATGAATATAGTTTAATAACTAAAATTTCTAACATGTATTTACTTAATTTCACTTATTTATTTAGCCATATATTAATTTAAGATGGCTTACCCATTGGATTCATCAAATGGATTCTTTTACTATAGCCTAATTGTGGCAGGTACTAAAAAAATTATGTATATTAATTTGGTTAGATAATAAAATTTTAATTACATTTAGTAATTATGTAAGAGAAATTATCACCTTCTCTGAAAATGTAAAAATTTTTCTTTGATCAACACCACCAAACTGTGCATCAACTTTTAAATACTCTTCATCTAAAGCCTAAACAGATTATTATTATAAACATTTTATATCAATAATTACTCAGAGAATGTAAAATAAATATGCAAATAAAATCATTTATCCAATTTTCAACACGAGATTTTACAATTTTAAAATAAGAAGTATTTACCTGCAAGCCAGGATACAAAAGACTGCTTAAGAAAGGATGATCTACTTGTTTAACTACTTCTGCTCCTGCTTTTCTAGCATCATGCTCAGTTACCATAGAAGCAAGTCTATATACATCCAATGTATATTCCCTAGTTAAAAAAGTATGTTATAATTTGTTACATTTATACTGAATTTTCTGTATAAATTCAGTATTCACACACAAAAGAACTAGTAGACAAACATCTAAATACAATATTTCTAATTTCTTGAAAGTCTTTAAAAACACAGAATTACAAAGCCTAATACCTACACTCACCATCTTACCTCATAATAAACACACAAATACACATTATATATATATATATCCAGAATTAGCTGATATGTTCGTGAAATAAATCTCTACTCTTTCATCCAATTCTTAAGTATTTTTTTAAATTGATCAAAGATCAAAGATAAACATTCTAGAGAGTATGAAGATAATTTAATTGAGGGTTCTAATTAATTTATTTAATGAATCTTATATTATTACATCAGATAACATGTAACACATGCATTACACCCAAAAACAAGTTACACTCTTTCTCCCTTTCCCCATATCCTTATTTTGACATTGTTTCTTTTCTGCAAAGAGATTAACCACAATTACTTATTATTTTACTAAAGATAACATATATAATGTTTAATTTTGAATCTGAGATTTTGCTTGTTCTATTCTAAGATTCTATGTTCAATGTGTTTAAATTTTAATATGAATAATTTTTAATTGTATACATTTTTCCCCCTATACATAAGCTGTGATGACTCAAGAGTATTTAAAAACTTGTATTTTAGGTATTCCAATTTTAATAAATGCAATTTATAAATAAGAAAACCTGACTTGGAAAAAATACTTTTATAATATATTTCAGTAAGACCATAGATTTTTAGCACTGATGAATTTCTGTATATCTACTTTACATTTGATATTTATTTGCTTAATGGTTTAATCATAGATTTATATTTAATAAATAAATGAACAGACATTATACATTTTAATTTTTAACAATACAAAATAACTTACTTGCTAAGTTGATAATCTGAACCTTTCACAAATTTAAGCTTCTCTATGGGTACATCTATAGACTGAAGCATAGCTTTTATAACATTTTCATAATATTGTGCTCTTAATTCAAGAAGATCCCAAGGTGCTTTCATATTATCCAGATAAGCATGAAGATCAGCAAATAAAATTGTTACCTAATAAAATTATTATAATAAATAGATAAATATATTACTATAAATGAAAGTTTCTATAAAAAATATATATATATATAT